ACTTCCCCTCTATTCTTTCTGTCTGTCTGTCTGTCTGTCAGTCTCTTTTTTTTACCAACACCAAATAACCATTGTTTTGTGGTGTTTTCGTTGATGAGGCTTCAACATTTGCGTTCCTTCATTTTTATTTCTTTTTGACTCTAACCACTGCGCCTAGAATCCGTTCCATCCGGCACCCTGCTAGCTCAGTTGGTTCCAGGCTGAACTGCTTTGTGCATCACTCTGGTTTGAATCCTCAATTAGGCATTCCTGAAATGTGCATGTTTAGGGTTTTAAAAGTCCCACCGCCTACTTGGTTCGTTCCCTTCAGTGATGGACTTAATTACCATTGGAGGTCCCATCTCTTAAATAACATTACCGTTTTGAATATATAACATGAGTATTGTACCATGAAGTATGTATTGTAAGGTGTTGGATGTATACCTCTATGAGGATAATTGAACTCCATAGCGGCGGCGTTGGTGGAGTGGTTAGGCGTTTCGCCCTCACAAGCAGAAGATCCTAGTTCGATACTCCCAAGGGCGGGGAATAATTATCGAGTATCTCTGCCTTTTTGCAGGGACGTTGTATTCCTCCCAGTCGGTGTTGAACATGACGGGCCTGCCTCCTAAAGGATCTAAATTTTGTTCGGGGGGGGGTTTAAAAACCGTTTTAAAGAAAACGTTGTTGTTTCTTATGGCATTATAATCATTTTTAAAAAAACGAGTTAGGATCGTGCCAATTGTGGCTAATAAATGTCTGAAACCGGTTAGTTCGCTTTTGGAAAACCCTAGCTTCTAGCCTCATTTTGTGTTTCACTACAAAGTGATACTGTGTCCCCTTTCATCGAGCCGGCCTCAGACGCCTCAGCGCCGGGGTGAATTACTCACAGTCGGGCGCGTGCGCTGTCGCTGAGCACTCAACACAGGATGCCTTTCCCTTTAGCTTAATGTCGTGGAAAACTACAGGGGCGCTGACGGTGTGTCCGATTCTGCTTCGAGCGCTACGTCAAGCTGGTCGATTTGTCGCTGAAAAGTCTTTTCTTCCATCCCATTTTGCCCGTCATGTGCCAAAGGGGGCATGGAATTGCACTGTAAGCTCATTGGAAACAGTTAATCTCGGTGACGTTACCGCATTTCATCCCTTGAGTGTGTGGGTGGACGGGTGGGGGTGGTGAGGGGGGCGGAGTGGGATTGGAAAAATATGGGGAGGGGAGGGGGAGGTGAGAGAATTATTAGATTCATCGCACGCCAGCACGGGATGTCGACCTGCTAATGGTGGGAAAGCACGCGTGAACTCCAGTACTCGCATACTCTCAAATTATCATCATCCAGTGCCAAATCTGCGACAATCATCGGCGATCATGGTTCTCCATTTATTCCTTTGCTCGCATACTCTTAAAAAAGCTACATTTCCTTGATCTTTCCCCGTTACTCATTTGTTTAGGTTCCCTGAGTAGGTTGCTCTGGGCCTACCCCTTCCTCGTTTGCCTCAAATTATATTTAATAATAATCACTATGGGATATAGTCTCTGTCCTTCTTCCTTGTTCTTAATTTCATACACTCGTTGCGTCTCAGCACAGCCGCACTGTGTGTTGACGTGTGTAGGTGTGCAACTGACGGGTCTGCCTTGCTATATTTAGGTACTGTGTAATC